TCAGGTAAGTCTATATGAATCATCTTTTCATTACAGACTATATTGGCGTGGTTTTTAGCTAACCAATCCATGCCTATAATTATATCAAATTCCCTTAAAGGGAAAAGAAATAACTGTATAGGCACCTCACATCCTTCTATACTTATAACACACTCATCAATTCTTTCCCTTCACCAAAACCTCACTATCATTTGTTGTTTCCATAATTAGATCCTCACTTAACGATTTAGATTCTAAATGTGCACAATTAACAAATGATGGTGACACAAATGAACGATTTGCACCCGAATCAAATAGAACTTTAGMACATACTGAATTAACGAGGAATGTACCTGTTACTACTTCAGGGTGCTCTTCCGCCTCACCTCTCGTCATTTGAAAGGCTCTCCCTTTTGTATTAGACTCTATCTGTCTTGTTCCTCCTCGTCCAATAGTATTAACATGATTTTCCGCTTGGCCACGACCTGTTGGCACATACCCAGATACTCGACCCCCAGAATATCCAGATCCCCGACCTCCACCAAAACCAAACCCTCTATTATTTGCTTGCGGACAATCAATACTTATATGTTGGGGTGAATTACAAATATAACATCTTCGCATCATTCGATAATCTCGAGCTATATGTCCAGGTTCCTGACACTTAAAGCATACTCGAGATTCTGTATTACAATTTCCCTAATGTATTTTATGGCATCGGGTACAAGCCTTATCATTAAACCTTGAGAGCGGTCGGTTCACATTTTCCATAAACCTCGGTCTACGGAAATCAGTAATGTTAACTTCCCCCTTTCTTTTCTCTCCAACCCTTTCTTGCGGTTGTCGGTTAATATCTTGTTCCAGTATTTCAGCAGCATCAACTGCCGCCTGAAATGTTGTCGGATTTCTGGATATTACATATTTCCGAAGATTCGAATCCAATCCCCAAATATACTTTCTCACCCTGCTGTTTTCAGAAATAATATAGGCTTCAGCAAACCTAGATTGTTCCATGAAAAGTTATGTATACTGGCGGAC